ATCAGCATCAAATAGGTTAAGAATCAGGAATACACAATAGATATTAGCTAAAACTGTTAAAATGCCAGTGAATCCAATGCCAAATGCGACAGATTACGACATTTAACCACTTTCTTTCAATCTTTTGCTTTTTGGGGATTTAGACAACATCCCCAGTTAGGCCACTGCAGTATATAGAGCCATATATGCAAGAAAAGAAATATGAAGAGAACATTAAAATATCACATTTACTAACTTTCTCGTCTGTCCTAAAACACAGCCATGCCCTCAAACATCCTCTATGTTTTCTAATAATACTAACCTTAACCTTAGCTAAGAGTTTGGTTAGTTAGGGTTAGGGTTCAGATTTTCTTCAATGCAACCTAACACTAATTTAAGCAGAAAATATAACTCAGGGCATCAAAATATTAGTCTGAAAAGACTTAGCAGCCTTGCCACAACAAATAAAATGTATCAACTGTAGTACAATTTCAGTTTTTGACAAGTATTCTGCTATTGAAAATTTTGTGTGGAATCGTACTCTCCATGAGCATGGTATCAGTATTAAATAGGTTAAGAATCAGGAATACACAATAGATATTAGCTACACCTGTTAAAATGCCTGTGCTTTCAATGCCAAATGCAACAGATTAAGACATTAACCACTTTCTTTCAGTCTTTTGCTTTTTTGGGATTTAGACAACATCCCCATTTATGGCAAAGCAGTATAAAGAGCCATATATTGTATTTGAGATGTCCACGTTGTCCTCATTTTCTAGACCAATGAAACAAATGTTATTGTCCTTCTGTACAAATTGTAATGTACTGTATAAATTATTTACTATGTCAGCTCATGATATCGAAAATACAACATATAGAATCAAAGGCTTATTTATCACCTCTCAAAATAGCTTGTCTTTTTAAATTAACAATTATATTTATGTACATTACTAAATAAAATAAAAAAAAATATTTGTCTGGGCATCATGAAGTAATCTTGAAGCTTTTTTTTCATTTTAATTTATATGCAGCTACATGTGCTATCCATCGCTGCATAATTTTTCTCAATAATACCTTGAAAAAAGAAAAAGTATATTTTCAAGGAAATCTTTAAATTAGCAAGAAGCTATATTAAGTTAAGAGAGTGAATCATGTATACAATTTACAATATTTGTAAGACCAAAAAGAATGCACCTGAAGCTCAGGAAGGCAGATTTAAGTCAAGTACAGTAAGTCTGTACTGTACAGAGTTTAAGATTCAATATGAAGATTTCTACTGCAATGTTTTTTTAGTGGACATTTAAAATTTATTATAAATATTTTCATATTTTTAAAATATTTACACCCTCACAATTAACTGATCATAAATCCGAAATAAAAACAAAAATGTCAAGAGTATGTAAACACCTAAATATTCCGTCTAAAGTGATGTGAAAGAGAATATGAGAAAATGTCGTATAGTCGCTCTGTGTTCATGTGAAGAATTTTCTGTTCTGATTTGTTTATTGTAATATGATTTCCAACATTCTGTGTTTAAGATCCTGATTTGTTTTGGCTCTTGAATCCTACCTTTGGGGTGTGTTATCTTTAAAACAGAAATGCAGGCCTCATTGTTTCCTGTTTCTGTTGCCAGAAAAGTATTTGTCATGCAGTAGTGCTTATTTTATTTTCTTACCCATATTCAGATTTTATCCGGGTTTTGTTTTTGTAGTTTCACTTTTCCAAGGTCTGAAAATACAGCTGATTCAAAGACACCTACTGTATATAAAACCTGCTGGCCTGCAGAACTCCAGGGCTGAGCCTCACCTACAGTTTTTATATAGATTTCCTACCTCAATCATTTAAAATGTTAGCTGTGCTAAAACATTAGCTGTGCTAACATTTTGAGTTGTTCTCAAAAGCAGTTAGAATTTGACCTACTCTTTTCTTAAGACATGTAGCAATTATCAGAAAGATTATGCCTTTTCGTGCTGTGGACAAAACAGTTAAAAAAGTTTAAACAAGTTAAAATCCTGTATGCAGTAGCTTCATGTCCGGTATAGCTATACTCTACAAAGCTCTAGGTCTTGGCAAGCAGCTTCTATGAACTTTAGGGAAATATGATGAATGCAAGTACTGAACACATATCACAAAGTTATCTTTTGGCAGTCCACACTCCTTGGAGCTGTCTTAAATTTCTGTTTAATTACTGTTACCTCTAAGATGGTCTATATTTCCTAGCCAATACAGCCTTAAGATACTGTGTACTGTAAATGCAAATATCCAAGAAAATTCAGGCCATGCTGAAGGGCTTTAATCTGTAGTTAATTTGCAAGAAACTTTATTACTCTCTTTTTGGATGACAATTCTTTAAAAATGAAACAAATTATGCATTTGCATAAGATTTTTTAAAGAAGCATATTGATCACATATCATATTTATCTTTGATTCTGTGTTACTTAATATTCACGTTCGAATTTAGTTTTTACTCCATAATAATTACTAATAATAATTACTGTGTTATGTCTCCACCCAGTGGCAATCTAGTTAAATCACAAGCTTTGACCAGCTTTACAGCTGGATCTTAAAAGTCTGATAGGAAACAACCTATACATCGTTTCACTTTTTTTCCTGGTGAAAAACTATTTCACTTTTCTACATGAAAAGCAGAATTTTAAAGTAAAAGCAACTGTCTTCTGCATCCAAAGAGAGTTCTACAAGAATATGTAGGCTGGATTTTGGCACATCTAATAAATATGCTGTGATGGAAAATAAAAAACCACAGCATTGTTAGAACTGATTTAAAATGTTTAAAGAGCTTTGGTGTTGAGTTTGCTTTATATATTAATTATATATAAATATAACTATATATGTTTGCTTTAAAACATTTAGTTTTAAATAATTAGCAGTATCTTGTGTATTCAGAATATGAATTAATAATAAGTCAAATAAAACAATCAATTTAAGACATTTCAATTAGTAGATAGTAAAGAGGAACCACTTATTCTTTGGAATATATTAGCTAAGACTTTCCAACATGAGGAGACTTGCTTCCTGAATATTTTGGAGTATGACATGGATATCAGTCATAGACCTGCGTCAGGAAAGCTGCAAACTTTGGTTGCTATAAACAAGTCCAAAACTAGTTTGCTCCTGATCAAAACGACAGCTATGTTAGTTTTATAGAAAATGGTAATAACATTAAACTTGTCTTATATGTTACATATAGCACATAATAATGGATTTTCATTAAATTATTATTCTGTACTTTTAAATTACTTTTAAATTAGAATTATTTATCTTATTTAAAATAATTAAATCTATCAAAATCTAAATCGTTACTTGTAGTAAATATCTTGGGATGGTTAACATAAGCATTCATTAATAAATTGGAGATTTTTATGATTGTTGATTATGCATATTACAGTACAGTATGTACATTAAAATAATGTTATGTATTAAAAACAGATTAGAAATAATACAGAACACTGCAAGTCATCATGTTTTATTCATTACAGTTTTCTGTTATATCATTTTACTTTTACTTGATAACACCTCTGACTTCAGTAGAAAAATGCGAAGCAGTGCCTTTCGCCGTGTGAAATGCTACTGTACTGCATGTGCAGACACTTTTAGCAGTTATGACTGAGTTGTCAGCACCTGTCCTGTGAAATGTTTCTCCATTTTTTGAGGCAAGCAAATGAGTGCAATCACACATTGATTTTGCAATATACGGTACAGTACACCGCTTACTTCCAGACCACCCAAAATATCCTCACGATATTCAGGTCATAAGTTTTCTTAAATTCATAAGAAACTGTGCATCCCTTTCTTATGCATTTGCAATAAAACAGATTTTTTTCTTCAATAAGGCCTGTATCTGTACGCTTCCATTCTTCCATTCTGAACCCATATCACTTCCAGAGCCTTTTAAATTGAAATGTTTAATTACTAACAAAAAGGAACACAAAGACAGTCCATTACTTAAACAGAACCATTTATAAAGGGATCTGATGTGAAGTATTTAAAATCTTCAATGGCATTGAGTCGAGTCAAAGCCAATGGACCTCTTTAGAATCTAGAAACAACAAGGAAATACAAACCCTGAAATAGAAATGAAAACTATGAGGACATGTCTTTAAAGTTGGGAACAGATGGGACGGTTTAACACAAAAACTGGTTTGGAGAGTCTGGCACAAACTACCCAGCCATGTTGAAAAAGCTAAATGTTGTTTTCTTTCAACAAAAACAATATAATGAGCCAACAACAATAAAACAGATCGTAGAAACCAACTTAGCTAGATAATCATGAGGTGTACACTCTCATTTGTAACATTTCTTGAGTCCTATGTTAATGTCTTAGGGATCCAGCATGAAGCAGTTAATCCCTTGGCCTAAGGTGTTTTTTGTTGTTATTGGAAATACAGTATACCCTGATATATTTCTGTCTGAACAAACACATGACTTTATATGGCACTTGTAAAAAGAATTTGAATTCCTCAATCCCTGGCATTCATCAAATGGTTTTAATTTGAGGTTAAATGTCTCACTGTAAATTACAAAATTGCATGTTCAGCATGATTCAATGTGAAGAGCAGAGTAGGAAAATGAGGAACCTCTTCTGGAAGTGAAATAAAGTTTTTTATACACTAAGAGTGTTTTCTTAGTTTTCTTGCAGAGTGATTTTAAACAAGTTTAGATGTGTCTTCACAGCTGTAAATACATTGTTTAAAAAATGATGATTGAAACTAACATTTTGAAGCAAAATACATACAATCCAAACTTAATTTTGAATTTAGATAGAATTCTCATGCTCCCACAAACTTTATTGCAAATATATTGCAATGATTTGTAAGACATAAGAGTAAAAATGCAAACATACAAACCATATCACCATATGGCTGGCAGAGAAAGTATGATCATAAAATGATTGCATGACTGAAAGACATTATGTGTTTTAGGAAAATGTAGTAGAAAGTAGCTCAAATTCCATTTAAATGCTTTGTCCCGCCCATTTCCTCTTTTGAGCAATAAACCTCCTGCTTCTCTTCAGAGTTCATTTTGGAATTCCTTCTTGTAAGAGTCTGAAGACTGCATTATCCAAAAAGGGTTTTCGTCAACTACTGTAAGTTTCTTGCTATTACTATTATTGGTAAATTCATTATGGTAATAGTGAAATCACATACTGTATCTGTTCTTTATAGGAGTGTAGCAGTAGAAACTGAAACATTTGTTCTTTACACCAATAAATTGTAAAGAAAATGTAATTATTTATGTCTGCACAGTGCACAGCTGTAAGTGTTAACCAATCACTTGTTTTACAAGCTGATGTTTGCATTTGTTTTCATGAAAAAGGAAAATCTCTTTTCTCCTTAAGCATAGCTTATAAACCAGCAACCACACAAATGCAGATATAATATATACTGTAATTCAGCAAATTAGTTAATCTTTAAGCTTTAAAGTTTCACTTCAATATATTATTTACCGTTATAGCACTTTCTGTGGCACACATTTTGCTTCTAGTTCATTGGTTTCTTCCTCCTGTTTGTCTGACTGAAATTTACTTTAAAAAAGATTTCACTATAACTATGGATCCAGGCTCACTTATGTGGGAAAGATTCAGTTTTCTTTATGTGTTCTACATTTTTTAAGAATGAGATATGTTTTTTCACAGCCTATTTAGTAATATATTTGTGCTTAAACATTTAAAAATGAGTTTAGGTAATTAGTTTCTCAAATAATGCAAAAAGTACAAAACCTGCACTAGAAAAGAACTCTGGCTGTTGACTTTCTATTCTATATAACCCACGTACAGTACCATTCAGTGCTGGTTTTCTATTATTATTTCTGTCGATATTGTTTCTATTGTTTCTAAATATCAGACAGTGGAGGTCTTCTATTATTACAAGTGAGATGTTGCATTTACTCATGAAGCATGTACTGCAAAGTCGCTGACACTGTGTTCTGACCCAGAATCGCCTGTCACTGTGTATTGAGACAGTTCTGAAGGGTTCTCTTCTCGAGGATATAACCAGATTTACACCTCGTCAGTTCTTGCTCTTTCATGAACATATTACTTTATGCCATACTGTAAGTGCACATCTCCACTGCTGCTAGAATACATTTTTCTAGGGGTCTAAAATCATCATCTGAAGCCTTTTGAAAAGTGTTACAGTATTGGTGCAAATAAGCTGATGTTCAGTTCAATTAGGTCAGCAGAAATGGGAAGAAAACCTGCTATTGGTTGTATGGTATTACAGTATATTTGTTGATGTATGACCCTAGATCACCAGATTGATTTCTTTTTCCTGATGATCTTCATAGCAAATGCTCTAGAAACTGCAAGAGAAATGGCTGATAAATCTGATGAAGTGAAGTCACTTAATCCTCTCCCATGCCTTTCCCATCAATTTCACCATGTTGGATATCAGTTTAACTTTTGCCCCTAATTACAAAGGTTTATCCATTTCACTGGCTTGGATTTTCACTTAATTCTTAGCTCTCTTTCCTTTCAAGGGTTCTCTCTCCAAGTGAACATGAATTGAAGGTGCACATTGTTTAATTGATAATTTCTCAGTTAACTGACTCATCTTTATTTGCTGTAGAGTCTTATACACTCTATAAGAATTTGCCAGAGATTGAATTTAGGAAATGAATTGACATAAACCTCTCTTTTATCATTTCTATAAATAACTTGAAGATGTTATCATGCTACCAACTTCCAGATAACATTACCTTGTTTTCTACTTTTGCTTTACAAAATGTAAAGTCTGGCCACACGTGAGTTTAAAAATGGTAAAATTACACCTTACAATGGATAAGAACCATTTTTATTGCATTTATAAAATAGAAATGGTTACTTTCTACAAATAACTTCAGGGTAAATTGCAGATATCCTTAAGGATTAGATTACTCACATTCAATTAACATACAGTGATGGTTGTTTTTTATCTAATTAATGCCGCTTTCTTATCTCTGCATCAAGTTAAAAATGAATCAAGTAAACATTTAAAAAGAACTTTTGAACTCAATTAATGTTTATTGCCTAAAGGTAATTTTTTATCCTTGAACCTTTGATCCTTAATCTCTTGCCCTGAATTTTTAAAAGGCTTTATGAATTTTGTCACACTTTTTAATTGGCTCAAAGTACATGAGTTACTCCATTTGGAAAACCATGAGAACAAAAAAAAAAGTTACAAATGAGAAGATGCCATTGGTCATCTACTATAAATTTGCTTTAAGTTCCTAAAAGGTCAAATGGGATTTATTATTATCGTATCAACCCTATACAAATTTCTTAATTTGAGAACAGTTTGAAAGTTGCTTGAAACGTAACCTATTGGACCTATGCAGAGGGAAAAAATGCTTACTGTGTGAATGACTGATAAAATGTCTTTCTCACCTGTTTCTGTTCATCATAAATTTATCAATGAGTACATCAAGTAGCTGGGTCAGAAATAAGGCCACACTTAGAAGAGGCAGCATAATGCACTGTATGCTAGGGTTATTGGAAATAGTACCCCGAAAGAAGGGAGGTTTTGACTCTCAGGACTGACTGAAAAAAATAGTTAAAAGTACAGTGTAAACAATCAGATAAAGTCATTGATTAACACTGGAGACTTACTGTAGAAATGAAATCTGTCAGGCACAGTGTTCCTCAAGGACCAGAGTTGGGAACCACTGATATTGTTACTTCTGTCAGAATAGGATATTCCTTTAGGTGGGAATGTGTATTATTAATCATTGAATCTACAGCACTCTTCACTATTTTGTACTGTGGAGATGGAAATTGAACACAATTGTCTAAATAAGGTCTTAATTGTGCTTTGTTCAATTTTAATATAGCATCCCTTGAATTAAAGTTTTAAGTACTGAATATAGACTATGCAGTAGCTATTATTTTAAATGCTAAATAGACTGTTTGATGTTGATTGCTTCCCTTCATTGTCAGAAATATGAAATTGATCTGTCAGCATAAACACTGTTTTTGCTACCTCTATGTACCCGCTGTTTTGCTTTGTAATTAACTACTTTACTGACTTGTAACTACAGTACTGTATGTTCCAAGGACTTGCTGTAGTTCGTAGTTAGGCAAGATCTGCCTGGTCTAAATCCATGTTTATGATCTCCTTGAATCATATTGCCATACAACTGAACCTCTAGTTTAGGTGTCATGATCATGTCCATACCATTACATGTGATAGAACTACTGTATTGTTATACTTTTAGGCCTATGATTACTTGATTCAGTTTTGTCTCTCTTTTTCTAAATGGGTGCTACCTGTCCTGAGCAACTATTGAAAGAGTTTTGCCATTGGTTTATGAATAACAATCTGATTCTGCAGCAACTCATTATGATGCTCAACACTGAGAAATCCACGGAAGGATAAATGTCATTGTAAATTGTTAATTCTGCCTGTTGTTAGGTCATATAAGCTTTATTTTGTATAACTTAAAATCTTGTATACCCTATATGAGTGCCATGAGAACATTTTACAAGAACAAAAACATTGTTTTCTATTTATTTTAAATAGATCATATATTTTATTTGTTATTTGTAACAGTAAAATGATGATTGAACAGAATGTAAGGTACATCAAAGCCTCAAGAAACAAGGATAGACATATATTGTATTACAAATTAAAACAGTTGCTCCCTTACCATATATCTAAATCAGGTAAAATATCCAGAGAGTTACTAAAAGTTCAAAGAGTATAATTTTCCAGTTGTATTTAAAACCAGAATTACCATTTGTTTTTGTTTTTTTTGCTTTTGGAGATGATTTCATTGCACAGAGATAGTAATCGTGATCAAATATACATTTCATTCATTACCACTGTATATTGAATTTATATTAAACCCCATTACTTTTAGAACACATACTGTAATCCATTTTCTTTAGAAGTAAACTGCTTCATCTTACAGCTGAATGTGATTTAATTAGAAAGTGTTTAAATAATAATGCATTTAATGTTTTAGACACATTCTCCTTTTATGGTGCATGTGCATGTAAAGCATCTAAAATTGTAAAATGCATGCATAGGTGTAAAAGGATAGCGTGCAATCTTTCACAGGTGTTGTGTAAGAAGCCTTGAAGGCACTGAGTAAGAAAGAAACTATGATGTCACTGGAATCAAATAACAAGTGAAATTTGTTTTCGATTTGAAATATAAAGGTAAACATACTAATGCCTAATTTTAACTGGCTGGAGAGATTTTTGTAATATGCCAGTTTGAACATATTCAGGCTCTTCTACCTTAAATGCAAATAATGAATTGTTATTTTTAATTGATTAGTAAATTGATTTTCTTTTAATTTTGGCATAAAATGCCTACTTTAGGCATAATAGAATAGCAAATTTACAACTTTGCCACCTTCCTAAGGGATGCTCTTTAGGACTAAGCCATGCAAAGACATATGTTCAACTGAACAGTTTGGATTATGTGTTCCACTCTGGAGTTAATCATCTTAGGCCATTTTACTTTCTTTGAAGGCTGTGAGAGGGTGCAAAGTACAAAGATAAGCAATATCCACAGAGGGCAAACAGATGTCCAGTCTCATTCTTTCCTTTTGTTGTTTTGATTGAAGAAAAGGTTGACAACATGACTGCTGAAAACCCCCAGAGTAGCAGCCCTGCTGACCAAAGAAGACCCACGACACGATGGAGAAATCCATTTTACAGTATAAAGGTAGAGTATAAAAATTTAGCTTTTGGGAGCACAGGAAGTGTGAGTGATCTCATTTAATGCTAAAAAGGTAACAACATTGGAATCTCACTCTATAATATAGAATATTATAGAGTACCCTAGTATATAGGGTACTCCATGATATAATATTATAGGTATATAGTACCCTAATTCTGTTTAGGTGGAGCAAAACTGTTCTAAATATGAGCCAACCAGTTTGACAATATAACATTACTGACACTCTTTCTATTCTTGCTGCAATAGAAATGGAAAACGATTAGTTCATTGTTAACAAACTTTGGTAGCACACTTACAGTACACACCCCAATTTTGAATCCTTCCTCTTCACTTGCATGACTTTTTTTGTGGAGTCGGGCTGTTGTAAGATCTGTGAATACAGCTTATTTTGATTTTGAGAAACCCACCCCCTAAGGGGTAAATACGCTGGGAAAATAACTTGCAGATTTAGTTCTTCTTGAGCTGAAAGCAGGGCTGCAATTAATTTGAAATCGTTGAGGAGAGTTTTCAGCATGACTGTGTTTAACTGTGTATACTTTTTTTGTAAGATACTACTAAAACTGCTCTCATTCTGCTGTCCATTGTATAACAGTCACTATGTCACTGTATAAGTCACTAACTTGTTTCGTAATGGGAAATACTGTATAAGGAAGTCCAGATTAGCAATTTGTGTTTAAGGTTTTCTTTTATACTGTATGCTTTGAAATCAGGTTGCACGCAGTTAACATTGCTGCCTTGTAGTGCTGGACCCTGGGTTTATTTCCCATATACAATTTGTATCTTCTCCCCATGCTCAGATACGTTTTTGTCCAGGTGCTCTGGTTTCCTGTTATAGTCCAAAAACATACTGATGGGTTGATTGGTTGCTGGGAAAATTAACTCTAAAGTGAGTGTGTCTGTGATCTTTCTGTATGGTGGGATGATGTCCTATCCAGGGTGTATCTTGATCAAGCTCATGTTGCTTGCCGGGATAGGCTCAATCTATCCAGTGGCCCTTTAGTGGATAAATAATCTAGAATTAAATCATTGCTAGATAAATATTTCTATGTTATTAGAGAACAGTGAAAATATTGTGCTTATTCTATTTCACTATACTAAAAATACATTTAATTCTTACTGTACACACAAATCTACTTTTAGAGCTAGTCGTGTCATACTTAAGATAAAAGCATATTTATAGTGCTTAGCTTTTATGTTTAAAACAACAGCTGTCCTAAATGCCATGTTCGTGGTAACAAATTATTTAAATATTTATGAGATAACACGTATTAAAATGATTAGAAGCTCTTGTTAAAACTGTGCTTCTTTGTGAGTCAAGAAAAGCATTACATTTCTTAATGGGAAATACTGTCTTACATAAAATGTGGTATTATATTTTGCAAAGTGAAGTACATTAGGCTTGCTTTAAAAAACTCCACTTTAACCATATTTTTGCATATATGTTTGAGATTTTTATGTACTGTAGTTTATAAGGTCTGTTTAACAAATAGTATATAGTGTATGCATTAACATTTCCAACAAACAGTGAAATGTTAGAGTCTACACATAAGAGTTAATTTTAAGAAGATGCACATATCAATTCACTGGCAATAAATAAAGTAAGATACCATAATGTTTCTTGTTACTTATTTTGTTTCTGTCTTGGATTCAAAATTGCAGGTAAATATCCAATTAAATAAATGTACAGTTGTGAGAAAAAAGTTGCGAACCCTTTATAATTATCTGGATGGCTCCTTAAATGTAAGATATGGCAATGTAAAATGTTGTGTGTGTTGTTTGTTAAATAAGACTGTCTTTATTTATTATTATGGCATAGCTGAAGATCAGATCACATTTTAGGAGCCATTCATGCAGAAATCCATATGAAACAATCAACGGTTCACAAACTTTTTCTCACAACTATATATGGGAAATTCAGCTTGTGCTTGGAAATTCTCCAAATGTAGGTGTCCTTTCCCAGAAACCTGATACTATAAGACAAGGAAGGGAAGCCATGTGTTTTGCATCATTGAAAGCATGCATACGTATTTTTTTTATTATTTCCTGAAAATCATTTTTGTGCAGGATCATCAGTTCTGTGTGGCCTGTTGATTCTTGAAGGACAGTTTTCTGTTTAGACTTTTATTGACCTCGCAATCATAGTTACAGAAACTTATCAGAAGGGATTAATCTAAATACCTATTTTCTTACTGAAGAAAGATACTGTACAGTTCTAGTACGTAACTCAAGACACCTCCTCTTTCCATATTCCTGTCAATATATTACTTAACCAAAACTAAACATTATATCAGTGGAATAAAAAATCTTCATTGATCTGAAGCTGCAGTACCATTCTCTGATTTTCAAGGCTTTATATGCTGCAGGTTTTACACTGTGTTTCCTGCCCAGAAATAAACATTAGAATTGTTTATGCCAGAAAATCTTTTGATCTTAGTAACACATTGTTGAAGGGGGAAATGATAAAAAATAGAAAGCCTCTGCTCCTGCAGTGTAAATTTACACATTAAGGTACCACTGACATGAAATTGTAATTTAAGTGACAGTGCCTTCAGGTGATAAATATGGCAATAAGGCAATACGAATATAGAATTTTTTCCCATTTAGCTATTTTGTTTGCTGGTCAGTGATTGATTCAAGGATCAAAACTAAAAATGCTCAATGTGCAGGGGTAGCTCATTCTAGACCCTCAGAACCTTCTGTAGCCTCCAGATGATGTTCTTCAGTTGATCTTGTAGAGGTCCGTTGTGCAGACCTTGTCAATACCTTTTTAAAGGATTATAAATACTTCAATTTTTCATTAGAGAAAAAGATAATTGACAAAACATATCTATTACATTGAAAATAATCATGAACAATCTAACATACTTCCCTGACTATTCTAAGGGCCAAAGAAGTACATTGAAAGCAAGGCAAAATGTCTTAGAAAGCAGAACATCCCAAAAATCTGTTTAGCAATGCAAATGATCATATTTTAATCAGGATACAAAGAAGAAGTAGTACTTTTAGTCTCATATTAGTGTGTGCGTTAGAATTTTTCATAACTAGAAAATGCATTACTTCTCCACGATCCTCTTGAAAAGGGAACAAACACTAAACGAGCTCAAGGTTTAGACTTGGCACTTTATGTGTAACAGGAAACACTTCTTCATTGTTACATTATTTAGTTGCTAAGAGGTCAAACATTTTACCATATGTCAATTAAATAATGTACAGTAGCAAAGGGACTTCATCTGAGTATCTTGTATTTCTAATGATTGTTTTGCAAATAAAGTAAACTGTAATTTTAAGGAAAAAAACTATTAAAACTGGAATCTTAAAACAACATGACAGATTGTGGTTTAAGAGAATTGGGATGTTTGACTCATAGGAAATATTATTTAAATGAAATAAGCTTAGTCAGTATTACCTTTCCCCGAGTTGCTGAAACACAGACAAGAACTCATGACGTCATTAAACTTCCTTTTTAAATTTTCGATTGTTTTCATGTGTTTCTTAGAGGATTTTTGTTTTCAGCAGACACTTAAAAATTGTTTCCTAATACGGCTTCTGCCACCCTTTACTTTTCTGCACACATTGTATTAATGTACACGTCTGTATTTTCCTCAAGATTTAATGTAGCATAAACAGAGCAAACATCTGGTGCACAAATAAAAATAAAATAAATTCGCCACAAAATGGTGCTCTTAATACACTCAAGGAGTGCATCAAGTGACCTGAAGTAAAATGATTCAAACAGTGGCTGCAATAATTTATGGTTTAACTGGTAACAGATATGCAAAAATATGTTTTTCTTACAGAAACATGTAATGGTGAAATGTGTTGATTTTTCTCAAGGACTGTGTTGCTTACATTTCTTTCGCATTTAATAAAAAAAATGTAGCAGAGTGTTTGAACGCACTGTAAGAGAAATGAGGTTTTAACATAGTTGCTTTTAACATAGTGAGTGTGATATACTACTGTACATTCTCAATACATTGCTCAGTGGGAGCTGCACCCACTTGCTGCATGAAAGGCAGATGAGACTTAGGGCACTGCAGGCAGCACGCTGGCAAGAGAACAGAGCAGTGCTGCGCACAACCAGACGGGTCCTACAGCAGGCTAGGGACTCTGGGAAGCAGTGCAGGTCAAATTCATGGTTGAGCAGGTGGGGGTCAGGCCAGTGAAATCATAAAACACAGTCCAAAAAACAATGGGGAAATCTGTAAGACAAGATTTAAGCATGACACGCTCTAGGCCAAATTAAGCTAGTTAGAGATACTGAGCCGAGGCATGATCCTGGAACAAGGTAGGATCAAAGCCGAGGTCAGAATTCCAACAAAGCATGGAAGAGAAAGAAAGCTAGGAAAGCTCAAAGATAAAAATCTGTAATATACTGTATCTCTGAGAAGAGTCAGAGAAGCCCTTAAATATCCCGCCTGAGGAGGAGAGGTAATAGTCTCCAGGTGATCCAGGTCACCAGGTCTGTCAAATTGCTGTCAATGGCAACCAGTGCTGAGTACTGGATAGATCAGTGGCTGGCTGCCACACCAATGCTAGCTCACCGAACAGAGCAGCAGGAGCAAGCATGGCAATTGCTGAGGGTGCATTAGTGGTAATGTTAAAAAGCAGGGAAGAGGTGGATGCTGCACATTGGTGGTGGTGGAGGGGAGTCCCCATTACCTGTAAAGCGCTTTGAGTGGAGTGTCCAGAAATTATTATTATTATTATTATTATTATTATTATTATTATTATTATTATTCAACCTGTTCCATTTGTATTACAGGTTTTTGTCTTCTGCCATGGACTTCTTCAGCTAGCCCAGCTTCTGGTCTCAGGTTATCTGAAGAGTTCCATCTCCACAATTGAAAAGAGATATGGACTTTCCAGCCAGACATCAGGCCTTTTGGCTTCCTTTAATGAAGTAAGTATAGATGTACAGTATATATACTTTATCTTAGGTGCACTGTAATAAATAATTTTTAAAAAAGTACTGTAAAGCTTAAATAACATTTTCATTGATTAATGGATTATAATAGCAGTGCACTGCAGAATTATTTATTGACTTCAGACATAAATCATGTGATACTATTCCACCTACGGAAGTGAATTGAACTAATCCTCCTGATATAACTACTGTTCATAAGACAAACTGTCGTAACACGATTGAGGAACAAGTCTTTAGTTGTTTTTAGCTTTAAAATGCTTTGTTTGAGGGACAGCTGCCTGACCTTATGGAAGAGGAAGTCTGACCCTCACTGCTTCCCGATCAAGCAATAGGATATTGCAGTGGCAGTAGATCCAAGTCTACATTTTCCACCAAATGCCTTAATGTTCGATGTGTTTGTCCATTTCAGGTGGGGAATACAGTGCTGATTGTATTCGTTAGCTTCTTTGGAAGCAGAGTGCACAGACCACGGTTCATTGGAGGTGGTGCTTGTATTGCCAGCTTGGCTGGGATTCTGATGGCCTTACCGCATCTAATCACTGAACGTTACGAGTATGACCAATCCATTAATAGTGAGTTAAAGCACTGCTTGTGCTGTGTTAGTCATTTGTTTTCTCACAGGTTACTGCACTAGAATGAACTTTGAAACTCTCAGCTGAATATGTTTATTTATCCTATAAAGAGGTGTTTCTTTTTTTTTCTAATACACTGACATATTAACTGCAGTGGGTGTTTCTTTTTAAATATGTTGACATTAACTACCGTACAGTGCTTTTTTCTTAAATGCACAGCACAGGTACTGAGGAAACAGAAAAGGCAAACAATGAAGGCTTGTTTGAAGATATAAAGCATGAAAGATTAGAAAACAATAAACTTATTTTCACCTCACTCAGAACTAAGGCACTTATTGTACTACAGTATGTTGGACTTCAGGAAGTGCAATATTTTTAGTGTTATCAGATTGCTCTGTCTTGGCTTTAGGATAATGATATTAAAGTGGTCTTTAGAATTCTATTTCATGATTATTTCATGATTGAGGCATAACTGTTAAACAGAAATAATTTTAAATCTATTTCTCTATTTCTCACTTTATTATATGTAAAAATCAGTTTCTCTTTGAATCATTTATTGTAGTATTCTGAAGTTATTTGTTCTTTTCAATGTTCTATATCATAAGGCTAACATTCAACATGAGAAGCTCCTTGATGAAAATATTATCCTTCAATTTACTGTGGAGAAATAAGATAAGGACTCCAGCAAAATAGATTATAAATGAGTCTGTTCTGTTTAAGATTACTCAAGCTGGTAGTGCTATTTCCACCCACAGTGCATAAATGTCAGGTAAAATGGATTACTTTTGTGGGTGAACATGCAGCAAGGTTTGAAAATTAAATAAACATTGAAAACATCTGCTTTGACATTTCATTACTGAGTGAAATCCAAGAAATGTGATACAGTTGTTCAATAACTAATCTTCATTTTAATATGGCTGCAGAACCTTCATACAAACAATAAACTTAAACTTTTTTTTTTCTGCAGACCACGACAACAACAGCACAGATATCTGTCAACTGGATGCAGGATCCTCACATATGGAACAATCTCATCACAACTGCTCTGCAAGGAAGGAGATTGGCCATGAGAAGGTCCTGCCTATTATGTTTCTTGGCCAGCTGCTATTGGGAATTGGTGGAGTACCAATACAACCGTTTGGTATCTCTTATATAGATGACTACGCAAGCAAAAGGAATTCCCCATTGTACATTGGTGCGTGCAAATTCTAACATTTTTGTGTAAAATATATTGTGAAATTCAGAATACAAAATGAAACATAAAACTGATTAGATGTAATGTGTATACAGTACATACATTTTTTGTTGTTTTCCATTCAAACCTTATATATTTTTTAACATATATACTGTATATGCAAATATATGACAAGAAACCATAGATTTCACATGAAATATGCACATATTTAATCAAGAGGTGCACAAATGCCTAGATATCCCAAAAACCTGCTTTATATACCACAGTCACATGTTAAATATTTTAGGATTTAATGAAATTCCCAGTTTTACATTGATACAGTTATACTGTGTATTTGTGTGTGTGTGTATGCAAAGACTAAGAAACTAAAGTCTTCTGTTAATCGTGAAGTCTAATCTTCTTTTTTTAATGCTTGCAAAACACATAGTAGTCACACTTGTTTTATAATTTAAGTTTCAGTTTATGGTTTTCATTAATAGTTAATCTGTATTACATGGAATTTTAACCAGAAGTGTTGGAGATCTAATCTCACCCACTCCCTCTTAGCTCTTACTCATTGTGCATCATTTTTGCATCCCCCTCTTTGCCCTCTCTTCACCCCTGCAGAAGCTCATTAAAGAGAAAAGGGGATGTTTACAACAATCTTATTTTTATGGATAGGTAGTCATTCTCCTTAGACAGACAAGTTACATCAAAAACGTTTTGAATCATGTCTCTTCTTAATCTAAATTTGAGTTTGACCTACTGTAGTAACTAAACTATTAATAGTAGTTTAAATAAAATTTCAGGAAAAATACAACTTGATTAAACGTTTGTTGTTTTATTCTTCCTTCACAGGAATACTCTTTGCCATCACAGTTATTGGGCCAGCTGTAGCCTTTTTGTTAGGATCCTTCATGCTCCGTATCTATGTGGATATTGACAAGATTCCCTTTGGTAAGCAAATGCAGAAAACAAGCAAATGGAAAGATTAAAATTATCTTTCTGATTCTAGATGCAGGGATTATTTACACTGAGATCGTTATCTAGTAAATAATGTTCTTGCCTTAGAAGGGAGGCATTCATTAATGGAATTTTATAATGAACATTTGTGGTCCAAGACAACCATTTATACTGTACTGTATATGGCACTGTCCAAAATGCATGATCATTGGTATTCATCGTTAACCCTACCATAAGGAGGTCTGTATGTGATACAGTATGTTCGGTGTCTGCAGTTATTCATTAACAGGAAAGAATACAAACCTAAAACATTTCTCTGGATTCTTAGTGCAAAAGACAAACCAAAGACAAGTTCACTCAAAAAACACTCTAAACATTTACTGTAGTACCATACAGACCATTATAGCAAGCTTAGTGAACAATGCAGTTCTAATACTGGGGTATACCGGGCTATTTATAAACAATCATAGGCAACTGAAATATTATGTATAATATTCAATTTTGTTTCAAGATACTATAATCATGAATCTGTAATGCTATACATACTGTAGCAGAACCCATAAATAACTTTTATATATGAACAATATAAAAAATTCTTACTTCTGCATTTTCACTGTATACAAGTCAAGAGCTCTGTCTCACTGAAGCACTGGGCATACTATCATGAACACTCTGCACTACCTTGAAAGCACACTGTCTTTACAAAATAAAGCATAAAAAATCAGAGTAATCATTCCAAAAGCAAATTAACCTAGGGATAAAGTATCCTGCAACTCTGTCCAACTGTTGATAACAATAATACTGTAACAAATGATGGTGTCACAAGGGAGTTTAATAGTCTCATTGGTCATTAAAAGTCCCGCATTATATCTGCATACAATACATGTGTTGACTTCCTTTCTAAGGGTGATGACATTCTTACTTGTAAAGAGATCTCACTCTGGTAGAAGTTTAATTCCAAAAAGTATTCCAGAAAGGGGATTCATCAAGTTCATTTCGGCAATTTAAAAAAGTATTTCTGTCCACATTGTTTCTAAACTTATGAATTAAAGTTATGAATTAAACACCAATGGGCACACCTTGAGTAATTGGTAGTAATTTAAATGCAAATGGTATGTTTGGGCTGCATATTTAAGTGGCCTGTGATTTTAGTAATGAGTCATTCACATAACATAAACAAACGGAAGCATAAGCGCACGTGAAAAAAAAAAAAACTTATGTAAGAAATGTTCTCAGTGGGGACACAGAAAAATTCTTTTGATACTTCTCTCTTTTTTTCCAGATAAAATAGTTTTAAAAAATGATGATCCCAGATGGGTGGGTGCATGGTGGCTGGGCTTCTTACTGGCTGCGTGTCTGCTTGCCCTGGCATGCATCCCATATTTCTTTTTCCCACGTGAGATGCCCGAAGAGGTGAGAGCATCATGTGTTTGAATGCCAACAACCATAGAACAGAACATTTACCATGACACGCTTGTGCTTTGATGAAGCTGCCATGCAAACAATTATATTTTTTGTTATTAATGAAACTGTTTTATCTCTTCTCCATTTTCTAACGGCTTCTTCCAATTCGTGGTTGCAGAGGATGGCAGTTTATGCCCTGCAATGGATGCGAGTCCATTGCCGGGCACACACAGGCACAAACAGTCACAAACACACACTCACACCAGGGCTAATTTTCCCTGAAGCCAATTAGCTTACCTGTAAATCGATAGACTGTGGGAAGAACCCCTTTAAATTTATTATGGTTTCATGCTACAGATGTATTAGTATTATAGTTTCTGTTATGTAGCACTGTAAAGAAAATGGACATTCATAAACTTTATCTCAGTTGCATTAGCAATTCAGCTTCAATTTAACAACTGTCCTTAATTGCACAGATGACGTTATTGTTAATTACGTTACACTATTGGAAACAATTGGAAGGCTAATTATGCTATATAAAGGCAACATAATGCTACCCAAGAACATACTGTAAAGACATTTACCATCCAAGTGTTTTTTTTTAATATTATCTATAATTAATCTCATACATGTGTGCATTTTGCAATATGCATTGTCCCAAAGATTAGTTATTTTTCAAGGAAATTTGGAGTGTACCCAATGTTAACTCTCATAAAATCTCATAAAATCTCTGCTTTCAATGGATTTTTATGTTCAAAGTCGCTCTTAACAACACTGTAAGGAGGAAAAGTTGTGTTCTGCTTTGGTTTTTCAGATTCCTTTGTTGATTGAAGTACAGTATTTCTGCCCACCAGACTAATTAGTTTATTCTTTTACAATCATTTTTCTTATACATTAAAAAATGTATACAGCACTTGTTTTGGAAGAGTTTTGACAAGGTTAATTTAGGCTATCTTCATCCGAGTCAGAAAGTTAATGCTGTATGAATGGAACTATTAGGAAATGGTGTGATATACAGTACAATGCCATCAAGAACGAAGCTTATTTGACTTTGTTGAAACTTGCTGTTCTGTCTATGGGCATAATTCCATGAAAATGACACCTTCATCTCCCTGCATCAAGGTCTTTGACATCAGAAGTATTTTATTAGTCTGAATGTTGCCAAATTATTGTGTAATTTTTACATCACTGCCAAAATTTAAAGAAATCTGTTTTTGATACTAACTGTGAGAACTAAACAGAAAATGTAGAAGAAATGTTAAACTAATTTCTTAGCAGTTTAGTGAATGTCCCAAATCTAAGATAACCCATTAAAAGCTGTTCATTTCCTGAAGGGTTATGGTTACCTTAAAGGTATACACCAGGTGAGCAAGGCAAGACCAACAAGAATTGTTGTCTTCTTGTCTTGTTCAGAAGCCAAATACCAAAGTGTTGTTTTGAGTGAACATTCCCATGGTTCCAATTTAAAAAAGAATTTGAAAAATTAAAGTCTACTTTTAACTTTCAAAGTGTTCAGTTTGTTTCAGTTGCTACCGGAAAGAGACAAGGTTAAGTTGCTAGGAACTGGAAACATTTTTAGATCCTATTCCGTAGACAATATTGAAGGAAAAAAAATACATCTCACTTAGATAAGGATTTCAACTGCAGAAGTGAAAAAATATTGTAATAATACTAAAGAGGACGTGTCCGAGCCAAGATTATACTGTGATGCTCTTGACAAATGGGCAAGTTACAATCAAACCAATGATTTTAACAATGGTTATTAATGTTACTTACTGTAAATCACACAAAAAAAAGAATTTGTAACAGAAATTTTAGCCACCCAATGAAAAGCATTGTTATTATCTCAGTAAAGTGAATGGGAGTGATCCTTGGTTTTGCTGCTGTGTACAGTATCTTCTAGTCCTGGGAAAATAATAGATTTACGAAATTGAATTCATATCATTTATTCAAAATGTTCTAAGTTGTTTTATTTAACAACACCAGAAATGTCTCATGGAGAGCAAAAAGACAAAAAACGAAGACAAATTCCTAATACAAGAAATTGTGCAGTTTATGGCCAATAAAGTGATCTAATCTCATACATGATATGTGATATGTGATATGTGATATGATCTTATCTTATACAGAGGTGGGATGGCTTCCTATAGCACAGATACTGTATCTAATGTTGTTTTTAGTAAAATTGAAATGTAGTCCCTGAAAAATTCCAGAGCTAAATACAATAGGTTTTAGTTATTATGTTTTTACACACAATGGCCTGTTTGAAAGCAGCCCTAGTTTCTTTTGGTGGTCAAGCACTTAATGTCCAGAGCCACATGCTCTCTTCAGCCAGAGAAACAAATTCCCTTCTTCCGAATTAGAATATTTTTAAAGCATGACTTGAAGGTTTTAGTCATTGAGGTCAATAGGAATCTAAGCAGAAAGGTAGAGTGCATCCTGTAAGCTTCTTTTTTTATTGTTCTCATTGTTCTCTTTGCTGGGAATTACAGTTTCCTTCCCACTTTTGCTGGTTCTATAACAAATGGGAATTTAACAATTGAATTAACACAATTCTCAATGGAGAAATGGGCTGGAAAAAATGGGCTTTCATTGTTTGTAACAATGGCATTTTCACTGAAGATATAAAAAATACAATTATGAGTAATACAAACGTGTTTTGAGATATGTGACAGATATAATTTTAAGAAATGGAATTATTGAAGTATTTATGAATGCCTCTTGGAATAGTATTAATCTGAGAAATGCTAATTAAATGCTAATTTTATAGGGTCAATTTTTTTAAATAAAAAATAATTTCATTAAATAACAAATCACTATTTTGTATTTGTGGAATAATATTGGGAATATTTAAGATAACACTGAAAAAGACATAGCCTTATTGTTAAAAGATAGCATTATACTGTAAATAAATGAACATTCACCCTATGTAACAGGTGAGGAATAAAACATCACTCATCATGGAGCTTGTTCCTACACATTTGATTTTATGATTCTGTTGACAGAAGAATTTATTGATAATGGTGAATTAAAATAGCATTTTTAGTCATGCAAGACATTTACCTTTAAAGCACACATCACAAATTTGGCAAGAATAATGTTTTGTTTCAAACATAATACAATTTAGAATCATGGTAGTAATTGTCTTGTTATGCTAATATACATACTGTGACACATGTTCAGATACATACTACAAGACTAGCAATTGCCAAGTAGGGCAAATACATTAATATTAATACATTACAGTAGTTGTGTAATGCAGCTGAATTTCCAGTGACTCAGAAACACAGTGTTTCCCCATTAAGAAAACATCTTACTGCATCACAAGAATTGATTATTTGATCAAAATGTTTGTGAAGATTCACAATGTACATCTCTTTTAAAGCAATCTACAGAGAGCACCATGGAAACAAGAAATTCAGTTAAGGAAAAGAACTCCAGATCTGACCCACTCAAAGAACTTTCACTTCCAGAATTCATGAAAAGTAAGTTGTTTCACAAAGTGAAAAATTATGTACAGTAAATAGTAAGCAACCATAGGAAATGTATACCCTGGTGTGTTTGAAATGGGAAATGGCATGCGGAGACACTTGTGCTGTACATAAAGAATAAGTGATTGTAAACAATTATGGAAATACACAGTAAGATGGACAGTATTATAAAGGTACAGTAAGTATGCTGGTAACAATGTTAGTGAAGAAAAGCAATGACAATGTCACTTCTGGAAGAGAATAAATCATTTAAAATATTTAAGCATTACAAATCTTATATAAAATTTTGGATTTTTGTAGTGTTTTGCAGATAATTTCTTCTAAGTTTAGGTCAATACATTCTCCATGTTCCCTGGGACCATCTTATTAATGAACCATGCATATCTGCACTGCACACTCTACAAATCTGATTAACAGGAGGCAAATACGTTACACAATATTTCCCATATTTGGCTCATTAAATATGTTTTTATGTCTAGCATTTGTGGAACATATAGAACATATACTTTAGAACTAGATGACAGAAGGTTCAACCCCTGTGTTTTTTTGTCAGGCAACAAAGATCAATTTTAGATTTATGACTCATAACTGCTGTGCTAATGTTTTGGGTGGTGGTTTCTCTAGCTGTTTTATGAGTCTGTATGTCAAGACAGAACTAGTTCAGACTTTGGCATATTATAAAAGATAAAATAATTATTTTCACAAGCATAAATGCTATAACTCAAAGGGATCCATTGTACAAGTCATTATAAGTGGACATTCCTTTTTTAAATTAACTCACAATTTGTTCATGTGTGTTGAACCCACTGATTAATTTTCACAGTCCTTTGAGCTTAATTTTAGATGTAATTCTCTTTCTGCAACAGGTTTCCCAAAAATAATGCTGAGGACTCTTAGAAATCCCATATACCTGCTGGTGGTTTTGGCACAGGTAAATCTGTCTGCCATGGTAGCAGGACTGGCTACATTCATGGCGAAGTTTCTGGAGAAGCAGTTCACCAAAACAGCATCATTTGCAAACATGATGATAGGTAAGCAGAAAGATATGAATTGTGAATAAGGGAAACTGTACACCTTACCCACCCATTACAA